ATAAACTGACGTTTTCCCAGCCTCCATCAGTTCTGAGGAAGGGTCACTGGACCCAAAACGTTATCTCTGTTTTCTCCTTCACGGATGCTGCCAGACCTGCTGAGCTTTTCCAGCAACTTTGTTTTTGTTTTAGGTTTCTTTCTCCATTGATTCACTTCCCACTATGTGGTCACTGCCTTTGTCTCCCTTTCTCCTTTTTTGAAAGTGCCACTGTATTGATCAATTTTTCCCTGAAGTTTCAAAACAATGCAACACCTTATAAAACAGCAATTACTGCTCCTAGAATGCAAGGAAATCAACTCCAATACTTAAAAATACCTCAACAAAAAAGCAGCTCTTACAGCCACAACATTTCCCCCATCCTCCATCTTAAATTACCCAGAATCCCCTCATTGTTGAAGTTGACAGTATAAATATACTTATTGCTGTTAAGGAAGGAGATCCAAGATTTTAACTGGGTGACAGTGAAGAAGTCCGAATACAGAGTCAATTCAGGAGCTTATAGCTCAGCTGGTAGATATTCCATGCATTGCCTACCCTTGCCCATTCAGCTGGTGAAGTTGCAGGCTTGGAAGGTGGCATTCATTGTCGGAGTTATTGAGTTGCTGCTGCACATCTTGTAAGTGGTGCACTCCACTGAATGAGCAGAGGAGTGGATGAACGATTCAGGAGGTGGGTGACAAGCAAGCTCATAGATCACAGTAGGCCTTTCAACCCATCAAGCTTGCACTAGTAAGGAACTGATCTGACTGCAGTCATCACTCCACCTCCCTGTTTCCCTGCTGACCCCTTAACCCTCAAAAGTCCCTATTAAGTCAACACCCAGCCTCGAGTATATTCGTGACCAAGCCTCTATTGCTCTGTTGAAGAACATTCCAAAGATAAATGACCCCAAGAAAGAAATTCATCTCCATCTTCGTGGGAAGGAACCCCTTATTTTAAGCCAGCATTAGATTCCTCCATGAAAAGAAACTCCCTCAGCATCTATTCTGTCAAGCTTTCTTTGAATTTCATCTTCTAAACTTCAATGACTACATGGTCAATCAACACAATCTTTCTTGATACATCAAACCATCATCAGGCATTAGCCTTGGTGAACCTTCACTGAACTGCTACCAATGGAAATACATTCCTCCTTACCAAGGAGACAATACTATCCACAGTACGCTAGGTGCTACCCACCAATAACCTGTACAGCTACAGCTGTTAATAAAGGTCATTGTTCAGGTTTTCCTAATTACTCACTGTATCTACATGCCTTTTGTTTTGAGCTTCATGCAAGGAACACTCTGCAGTCTATGTTTTAAAAAAAAATTCAGCACTTCTATTCTTCCTGCCAAAATAGAAAATCTCTTTTCTCTCATTATATTTTGTCTATCAAGTTTTAGCCTACTCACATGACCTATCTATATCCCTTTGCAGACTTTTGGTATCCTCCACACAACTTGCTTTCAAAACTACATTTATATTAGCAGTACTCTGGCTACAATACAATTTTCCCCTTCATCCATATCATTAAAGTATGTTGTAAATAATGAAGGTCCCAACAATGATCCCTATGTAGTGATTTCCACTGGTAGTTTGCCAGGCCGAAAATAACCCATTTATCCTGACTTTTTGTTAGCTAATTCTCTATTCATGCTACTGTATCAACACAAACTTTTGCTGCTCTATTTAACATTTACTTAAAGGCTTTACTGTGTTTTCATACTTCTTGCTGATTTTCTTTCATATTTTAACTTCACCCATTTTCTCATCATACTTCACTGGTTTCTAAAAAATTCCCCAATCTTCTGAGTCACCATGAATTTTTACAACATTTCATGTCTGTCACTTAATTTGCTGTTGTTCTGAACTTTTTACGAAAGGCTGTTTTTGCCTTGATGTTGAGCATTAAATGTTGGAACTGCAGTCAGCCAGCCCAATGGAAAGCATTCTTTCTCACTGTCTTATGCCTTTGTGATAGGAAACAGGCTTCGGGGGAATTAAGTGGTGAATTACTTACCTCAGAATTCTTGTCTTCTAATCTGGTTTTGTAGCCTCTGTCTGATGCAGCTCAGCTTATAGTCAACATAACTCTCAGGATGTTAATGGTGTTGGATTCAATGACGGAACAGTGAACATCAAGAGGAAATGGCCGAATTCTCTCTTTTGGAGTCACGATCAGTATTTGTGTGGCTCAAACTAATAAATAATGACAACTGCATTTTTAGGAATTTAGAAAGTGAAGGGTGACTGCAAAGAAAGGAAAGCTTTTTCTATCTTTCTTGATGATAGCTTGCTACTATCTGAGGAACTGTTCTGTGGCATCGGTAATGGCAACTTTGGGAACAGGAAAGAAATCCTTGTGTGGAGTGAGAAGGAAGGAGAATACAAAAATACATCTACATGAGCAGGTAGCATGGCAAACTAGAATGTGAAACAGATACTCCTGCTCATTCTGCAGGTTACAGTTCTAGAATGGGTCCAGGAGGAAGCCATTGAGCCCCATATCATCTAGAACCAGTTCCAAAGCCTGGAGGTCTAAGGCTCCCACTCCTGCAATGCTTCTGCAGCTATGCGTTCATCTGCACCATCCTATTTCAACACTGTGTGAAACAACACGAGTAATCTAGAAACTACAGCCTGAGGCCTGGCTGACTAGTCTCCTTCTCAGTTCCTAAAACCTGCCTGCAAGATCTCATCACTTTCTATCCACATTGATTTCAGGAGAGTAAGGATTGGTAAGAAGTTACTGAAATTACAAGGTGCTCTAATGATAATGGCAGCAAACTTCGGCTGCCAAGTTGAGGAAACATCCAAAACATTGCATAGAGGCAGGTACAAAAGACAAAGAAACCACCACCTCCTGTTTTGAAGAAACTATTAAAACTAAAACAAGATTCTTCCAGTGTTATATCAGTTCAATGGACAAACCCTCCACCTCCGAACACAGACACGTACAATGAAACCATTGTGTCCTGCATGGGAACCCAAGGCTCCACCCACCTTTGCCTCCAACTGGGAGATCTGAAGCTGCTGGGAATCCCGTAGTTCACAGACTTCTTGGTACTGCTGACTGTGCTGTTCTTTGGCCAATGCCAGCATCCGATCACATTTGGCCTGCCACTGAGATTCCAATTCCGCCTGCATCACAGCAAGCTGGGGGGGGGGGTGCGGGGAGCGGAATTTAAAAAAGCACAAAGGAAGTGATTTCAAAAGGTATTCAAATTTACATTTAAATTTGAAGTGTGATGAATGACATACATGAAGTTATTCAAATAAGCACATACTCACAGCACTACATGCCCAATGACATTCATTATAAAAGTACACACAAGATACCTGTGAAGTTGCATGAAATTTATTTACGATAAAAACAACTGTGTAACACAATGACCACATGTTTTATCTGGAGTATAAACTGAGAATTTAGAATTTGAGCCACGCTGTGGTGCAGACTACAAAACAGTTGTTTTTCTTTAAACTGAAAATGTTAAAAGTGGTATTGCATGGTGTTCACTCATGCAACTTTGAGAAGCTGGATTTAAAACATTTGGGAGACAAGCAGTAACCTGTTGGCTTTGGGTTGGAAAACCGCCTACCAACAGTTTTTGTATAGTTCAGATTTGTGACAAACCGGGGAGAGGTAACATAAAGGAAAATGGCTGTACTTGTGAAGGTCAATCATCTCAGTTTGGTCCCTTGACGTTTAATGGCACTACCATGACTGAGTCTCCTACTATCATTGACTAGAAACTGAACTGGACCAGCTGTATACGTACTGTGGCTACAAAAGCAGGTCAAGGGTAGACATTTTACAGACATTCACCCTTACATTGCACAAATCAGGAGTGAGATGGAATGCTCTCCACTTGCCTTGATTGGGCATAGCTCAAAAGCATTGAAGTAGTTTGACAATATCTAGGAAAAGCATCCTGCTTGATGGTCATCTCAACCACCAACTTCAATTTGTCCAAACATCACACGATATACTTGGTGGTCAAAATTTATTTGGTAACCCTCCCACAAAGTGTCTTTGCATGTTTTACTACAAAGGCTCTATCAAATAAAAGTTGCTGTCGTGGTAGATACACCAGCTCTATGATAACTTGCATTTATTAGGGTGGAATGTAAAGGAAATTTATGGGATTTAGGAAAATTTAAAGTTACATTATCAGTTGTGAATTAGTGCAAACTAGAACACCTCAACTAATTTATAAACTTAATTTCTTCCTTAAAACATCTTTCAGCAAGGGTTGCTGCACCATATAGTTTCACCATATAAACTAGGTAATGCTGAACAAATGGCTCCCAGCAAAACTGCCTTTGTGTAATGACACCATCAGGTGGCACAATTTGCCAACGGTAGGGGCATTTCTCAATTCAGTTGGAGGCCTTTTTGGGTAATTTTACAAAAATCTTTCCTGAATGCGGCAGGATGGGTCAAAGTAGTTAGTGGATTCAAAATGTTTCTCTCGCCACTACTGTGCCAGACATGCTGAGTTTCTCCAGCATTCTATTTTTTAGTTAACTCTGGACTTGACTTATTTATGGGTGGTCTCTGATATTCTACCCTTCATTTACTTTAGGTCACCAAAACTCTGCTGCCTGCATTTAAACTTGAAGTTAACTTGCTTCGCCTATCACTCAGATACTCTTTGACCTTCCCTTCAAGCAACATTTTAATTTTAAAATTCTCATCCAAGCTTTCAAATTCCTCAATGGTTTCACTCCTACCCATATCTGCCCCTCTTTCTCCTTCAGCCCCACAGCCCTCAAAAATATCTGCACACTTCCAATTCTGGCCTCTGCTTACCTGCACTTGCATGCCCAACTTTAATCACTCCACTACGGGTGGCATCTTTAGTTGCCTAGGCCCCAAATTCAGAATAACCCCCACACCCCCATCTCTTTCCTCCATTAAAAGGTTCTTTGAAACCGACCTCTTGGTGCAAGTTTGGCTCTCATGTGGCTCAGTGGTGCACTTGAGTTTCCGATGTTGCTGTGAACAACATATTACCTGTCACTGTTAAAGGTGCTTTGTAAATAAAAGCTATTTATGTTTTTAATAAACAGAATTGCAACGTGTGATTAAGCTTCCACATTGCCCTTCTGTAACAGACCAGAACAAGACAATTACGTAGCAAGGTGCCATCCTATTATCTAGACAGTTCAACCTCCCATGTAGTCCATTCGAGATCAGAAACTACAGACAAGAAAACCAGAAGAATTGAGCCCAGACTATTACATGCAATATTAAACATGAATATTAATGGCTGAAATTGATAGAGAGGAACAAACCAGGCTGTTGCGGTATCAATCCCTTTACCTGCTCTGCTGCAGCCTGGTCGGTCGATGTTCGGGTTTTCTTCAGCAACGACCGCACTTTTTCCAGTTCTTCCTCATGCGATTTCCGGATTTCATCCATCTCCTCCTCTGCCCGCTGCCGCTCTGTTACTGCTTTCCTCTTCCTTTCTGCTAAATTCTGAGCACAGAAAGGTTGAGTTAACACAAAGAATAGGAGGTAAAGCCACCCCATTACCTGGAGAGAAGCACATCTCCCAGTCTGCATCAGGCAGATGAGGGAGTCACAAGGAATGCTTGGATTCAAAGTTGCATTTCACCATCTCATGACACAACTGGAATGCTGTACTGTCTCACCAGATAGACAATTGGCAGAAATAAGGAAGCATTACATAGCAATCACAGCTAAAATCTTCTCCACGTAATCTACCTTCTCCAGATTTTCTCTCTCAGCTCGCAGATCCATAAGCTCCTCCTCCAGACCGGCAACCTTCACCTCAAGCTCCTTGCGGCTTTGTTTCTCTGCCTTGCACTGAGTCCGAGCATGCTCCGACACTTCCTGTAGCTCTGAGACACACAAACCCATTACTAGCGAACCTTCAGAACATGTCAGACTCTGCTGCTCAGGGAAAGCTTATCATAAGCTTAACCAATCGTCATTGATTATTACAGCTTCCACGTCTGTCCAGAAATATTCCATCTGGATTAAACTGCAGCATGGTCTACTGTCAAGAGTCATAAGGTAGAATCAATCATACTCCACTCAGAGTCCCCACCCTTTGCTGTGGTGTCTTGGAGATGTGCTAATCTGCTTCACCTACAGAGCAGCAAGCTGACCTCAGAGACAGTAGTTATGAAGTAATGGCTTAGGCCTAGTTGTTTCTATCAATGCATTCGTGAGGACATTAGATGACCATTTAAATAAAAACGTGGGGTGTTATCAGGAAAGGAAGGGAAGGGAGAATGGCACCAATTTAGTGCTCTTTTGGAGAGCCAGTTCAAACCGCATTGAAACAAAAAAAAAAAACAAAGCTGCTGGAAAAGCTCAGC